ATCCGTTCCTGCTGCTCCTGCTCCTGTTCCTGCTGCTGCTGCTGCTGCTCTATCGCGTTGGCTGGCCGCCTTTCCTCTAGAAACGCCTGCTGCTGCTGCTGCTGCGGGAGCAGCAGCAGGTGCAGCATCAGCATAGTCGCTGATGAGAGCAACGCTGGGCTTTTTGGGGAGCCCCGCGGAAGCAAGGGCACCTGCACCTGCTGCTGCTGCCGCTGCTGCTGCTGCTGCTGCTGCTGATACTGTGGGGCTTGCTGCTGAGGAGGTGAATGCAGGGAGCGCGACAGCAGGGTACAGAGAGTGAAGGCCGTCGGGGGTCCCCCCCCAGCCAGCTGTCTTTCTGCTGTTTCCTTGCTGCACTAAGAAAGCGGTAAGGTCAACATCTTCCAGTAGATTCGTTTGCGGCTGCTTCTGCTGCTGCTTCTGCTGCTGCTGCTGCTGCTGCTGCTGGCTGCTGCGCTGCTTCAAAATGCCTTTCGGGGGTCTCTTGAGATGTGCGTCTGTCTCCAGCGAGCCCTGTCCCCCGGACGAGTTGGTGCAGGGCCCTGCAGCATCAGCTGCTGCTGCAGTAGCAGCCGCAGCAGGTGCTGCAGCAGGCGCTCCACCAGCAGCAGCAGCTGCTGCAGCTTGAAGGAGGCACTGCCACGCGTTGCTGAGGCGCTGCACTGCTGCAGGGGCCTCTTGAGAAGACGACAGACACTGCAGTTCAAAGAAAACAAACAGCATACACCGCAGGCTGTCTGGGGAGAGGGCCCCTTCAATTGTGCTGCAGCGTAGCAGCCCCCGAAACGCCCCTGGAGCACTGCTGTCTTCAGCAGCAGCAGCAGCAGCAGGTGCTGCTGCTGCTGCTGCAGCAGAGCCGGACGGAAGAAGCATCGATGCTGCAACGCCTTCAACCACCAGCAAACGCATCAGCCCACAGAGAGGAAGCAAAGGAGCTGCTGCATCCGCTCTGAACACAAGAGCAGGCAAGGGGGCCTTGTGATTTGCTGCTGCTGCTGCTGCTGCTGCTGCAGCTGCTGCTGCTGTCCGTAGTCCTTCTCTTGCGCAGCTGCCGACTCTGTTGTCTCCTCTCCAGCGGCTGGTAGTGCTGCTGCAGCTGCCGCAGGTGCAGCAGCAGCAGCAGCAGTGCCCAGCTGCTGCAGCGGCCTCCCATGGAGCCCCTGCTGCATAGAAGGGCCTCCTAATCAAAGGTGAAGGCAGCGGCACTAAGGACAGCTGCTGCAGAGACACCTCATCACCTGCTGCAGCACAGCGACAAAGACGTGTCCCTTCATCTAACAGATACATCTCAAACGAGCTGCACTGAACCCCTATATGCAGCCCTGCTGCTGCTGCTGCTGCAGCGGCTGCTGCTGCTGCTGCTGCCGCTACCTCTGGCGGTCCTCCTCCTATTACTGCCGCTCTTCCTGCTGCTGATGCCATCCCCCTCCACCCAGCGTGCCCTTGCCCCTGCTGCTGTTGCTGCTGTTGCTGCTGCTGCTGCTGCTGCTTCGATGCAAGACGCAGTGCCTTGATATGCAGCACTGCCAGCCACCCAGCCCCCTCCAAGTCCAAGGGCATCTCCGTAGAGGTCGGGGGGCCCCTCATGTTGGGGCCCCCGGGGCCCTCTTCCCATTCCCGGGGCCCTCCATGAACCATCGCTTCAGCTGCTGCTGCTGCTGCTGCTGCTGCTGCTGGTGTAGCGCCTGCTGCACCCTGCAATGCCTCCCAAGGACGAGGAAGAATCAACAAGCACTGAGAGATGCTGGCTTTCAGTCGCACGGCCTCGAACGACAACGCCCACTCCTCCCCTTGCTGCTGCTGCTGCTGCTGCTCTTGCTGCTGCTCTTGCTGCTGCTCTTGCTGCTGCTCTTGCTGCTCTTCCTGCTGCTGCTGCGGAGGGGGTGTTGCTGCAACAAGACACTGCTTGAGGAGAGTAAGAAATGCTGCTGCTCCCTCTAGTGCCCGTGTGCTGCAGACACCCACAAGGCACTCAGTGTTAACCTCCGCGGTCTCCACTGACACGCATCTTCTGCTGCTGCTGCTGCTGCTGCTGCTGCTGCCACCTATTAGATCTCTCGCCCCAATGAGCATAGAGAAGACGCTGTCTCTTTCCTGAACTGAGAGGCAATATGCACTGCCACCAGCAAGGGCAGCAGAGCCTCCGCGGCAGCCTGCTGCTGCTGCTGCTGCTGCTGCTGCTGCGTCCCTTGGGGAACTGCAGCCCTGGTATAAGGAGGCCCTCCAGGTGTACAGCACCGGCTCCGAACAGCTAAAGGCTGCAATGCTGCCTAACGAGACGGACCCCAGCAACCGCCTGCTGCAGGTGTCTGGTGCTGCTGCTGCTGCTGCTGCTGCTCCGGCTGCTGCTGCTGCTGCTCCTGCTTCTTCGTCTGCTGCTGGCTGGCCAGGGACACACGCAAACGAGAACAGGAACCTGCCCAACTCAAGATACACCCCACAGGTGCAGGTGCTGCATCGACAGACGCATCCGGCAGCTGTTGCTGCTGCTGCTGCTGCATTTGCTGCTGAAAGGTCCGTGTGTAGTGGGGCCCCGCACTGCCCACCGGTCGTCCTGCTGCTGCTGCTGCTGCTGCCAACGGTGCTGCTGCTGTTAGTGGTGCTGTTGCTGCTGCACTTGCGCATGAGGCAGCAGTCTAAGGACAGAGCCCCCAAAGAGACACTAGCACTGCTGCCGGGGGTTTCCAGCAGGCGCCTCCACAGCGGCTGTATCTGCTGCTGCTGCTGCTGCTGCATTTGCGCTTGCTGCTGCTGCTGCTGCCCTGCTGCAGCAGCTTCTGTGTCTTCGCTGCTACTAAAGGCACTGCAAGCAGCAGATAGAGACTGCAGCAAAGCCCCCAAGGGGACAGCCAACTCCGAATCGAGGGACGCCTCAACAAAGGGTACATGAAGAGACACCACTTCACAGACCTGCTGCTGCTGTTGCTGCTGTTGCTGCTGTTGCGGCTGCTGCGGCGGCTGCTGCTGCTGCTGATAGTAGTCACCCGACAATCCCCCTACCACGTCGCTGAGGGCGTCGCGGGGCACCTCCGCAGCGTGCAGCCGGCAGTGCTCTTTTGCTGCAGCTGCTGCAACAGCATCTGCACCTGCGGCTGCGGCTGCTCCTTCTGCTGCTGCTGTTTGTGTTGCTGCTGTTGCTAGCCGGGTGTTAAGGGGCTGCCCGAGGCACTTGTACTCGAAGGAAGGAGCAGCAGTAGTTAACATCGCTACCAGCGGCAGCAGCGCAGTCTTCTGCTGCAGTGGGGGCCCCCCAAGGGCCCCCGCCCCAATAGGGGGGCCCCTCTGGGGGGCCCCCTCTACCACGGGGCCCCCAAAGGGGGTCCTATAGGGGGACCCCTCTATGACGGTGTACCCAAGGGGGCCCCTATGAGGGGGCCCCTCTACGGGGGTACCCCAGAGGGGGCCCCTCTGCAGGGGCCCCTCTATGACGGGGCCCCCATGGGGGCCCCTTGAAGGATCTCGTGTTGCGTCGCTAGGAACGCAGGTAGAAAACAGCAGCCGATACACCCAAGGCTCCTGCTGCGCAGTTTCCTGCTGCTGTTGCTGCTGCTGCTGCTGCTGCTGCTGCTGCCGCTTTCGCTTGTAGAGCAGAAAGCAGCGGATGTGCTGCTGCAGCAACAGAGAAGCATGACATGGCCGGGAAGAGTCTGAATCTGCTGCAGGGCTGGAGGAAACTGCGCAGCTGCTGCTGCTGCTGTTGCTGCTGCTGCTGCTGCTGCCCTCCCCCCAGAATGCCTGGCCTGGACAGTACGTGGCCTTCACTGCGCACAGATCCACAAGGAGACTGCTGCTGCTGCTACTGCTGCTGCTGCTGCTGCTTCGTTCTTGGACCTGCTGCCTCTCCATCTCCTCAAGTATCCGACCTGGACCTGCTGCTGCTGCTGCTGTTGCTGCTGCTTCTGCTGTTGCTGCCTCTGTTTCTATGACCTTCGTTGTCTCTGAACTCTCTGAGGCTCCGATGTGCAGACGCAGACAAGACAGAGACAAACTGAAGCACACAGGGGGCCTCTCCGCAGCGGGCTGCATAGCCAACTGCCCAGCAGCAGCTTCTGCTGCTGCCGGTGTTAATGCGCCTGCTGCTGCTTCGGGTGCAGCAGCAGGAGACGGAAGAAGAGCAGTTGAAGCCTCCTCACAGACCTTCAAGCAGCAGCACAAGCAGCAAAATGCAACAGCAGCAGATGAGGTGTGCAAGTCAGTTCGAGGCCAAAGAGAAGCGCAGCACTCACAGCAAATGCAGCAGCAGCAGCAGCAGCAGCAGAAGGGACAGCAGCAGCAATGGACACTTATGCAGGGGATAATAGGCTGCAGCAGCAGCAGCAGCAGCAGCAGCACTAACATCAACTGCTACGACAGAAGCAAACAAATCCCAGAAAGCAGCAACACCAGCAGCCACAGCACCAGCCAGCAGCAACAGCTGCAACGGCGGCAGCACCGAAATCCTGCACAACAGCAGCAACCAGCAGCAGCAGCAACAGCAGCAGCAACAACAGCAGCAACAACGCATACCTGAAGGATGTCCCCTAAGATTTGCAGGGGCAGCTGACCGATGACGACCTCAAAGCAAATATCTGCCCATGCTGCAGCGGCTGCACCACCACCTGTTGCTGCTGCTGGTGCTGCTGCTGGTGCTGTTTCTGTTGCTGCTGCTGTATCAGAGTGAAGCGGCTGCAGTGTAGGAGGTGCAGCATACGGGGCGGGAACGGTCCTACCTGCTGCTGCTGCTGCTGCTGCTGCTGCTGCTGCTGCTTGAGTTGTTGGCGCTCCTCGTGCTGCTGTTGCTGCAACTGCCACAGCCTGTGGGGTTGGGGGCCCCGCAGTGGAGGCGCAGGAGCCCCCCGCTGCAGTGTCTGTACCCTGTAGGGGCCCCCCCGCCAGCTGCTGCAGCGAAGAGAAGAAGTATGCAGCCCTCAGTATAACATGTGGAGGCCTCTGTGCGCTGTCTATAGACAAATGGGGGGCCCCTTTAATCGTTTGAAGCAAGGGGGGCCCCCCCTCTTCTTTCTTGCTCTTGGAGACCGAACGAGGCACCAGCAGCTCACCTGCAGCTGCTGTTGCTGCTGCGCCTGCTGCTGCTGTTGCTGCTGCTCCTGCTGCTGCTGAGCTTCGGTGTGCGGTACGGGCTGCAGCAGGAGCAAAGAGAGGAGGGAAGAAGACACCCTCATGAACAGAGCCCTGCAGCTCATCCGGCACCTTGACGAAGCCTGCTGCAGTGCTGCTGCTGCCGCTGCTGCCGCTGCTGCTGCTGCTGCTGCTGCCGCTGCTGCTGCTGCTGCTGCTGCGTCGCCGGCGTCTGAAGGAGCAGTACTCCCCCCGAGGAGAAGAAGCAAAAGATCCCCGAAGGTTTTCAAAGCCCTCAACCCACTCCCCCCACTCTGCTGCTGCTTCTCGCTGGCAGCAGCGTCCGTGCGGCCCCCTGCACCCTTTAAGGGGGGCCCCTGTGCGTCTGCAGCCTAAAGGATTGCTCCTGCTGCAGCGGCTGGTGTCGCTTCCGCTGCCGTTGCTGCTGCTGCAGCTGCTGCTGCTCCTGCTGCTGCTGCGGTACCTGTACCCGTGCAGCCCCTTGCCGTGATAGCTGCGCTGCCTATACCTCCCCCCTGCCGCAGCAGCAGAAGATTCTGCTGCTCCTGCTGCTGCTCCTGCTGCGCCATAACCTCTGTCTGCTGCTGCCTCACGCCAAGCCCCAAAAAGCAGCAAATGCGTTTTAAACTCTACTGGGGGGGCCCCGGGGGCCCTCCCTGTTGCTGCAGCGTTCAAAGCCTCCGTCAGCTCCTGCAGCGCCGGCCCGACCCTGTAAGGAAAGCCAAAGCTGCTGCTGCTGCTGTTGCTGTTGCAGCTGCTGCTGCCGTTGCTCTTGCCGTTGAGGAGCTCAGCTGCCGCGCCGTTGCTGCCAGGGGCTGCGGCAGCAGCAGCAAACGAGGGCACCTCCAGCGCCTGACGCGAAGAAGGCCAAGGAGGCCCCGGATCAGCGCCTGTTGCTGCTGCTGCTGCTGCTGCAATTGCTGGTGCTGCTGTTGCTGCTGCTGTTGCTGCGGTTGCCGCTGCCCTGGTCAGGCTCTGCTTGTTTGCCAGCGCCTCTTCAGTTGTTTCCGAGCCTCCTAGCGTATCAACATGCTGCTGTTGCTGCTGCTGCTGCTGTTGTTGCTGCTGTTGCTGCTGCTGCTTCTGCTGGGCCAGCGAGAAGGTGCTGAAGGGATCGTCAAGAATTTCGCCTCCCAAAATGCCGCCCCACAGATCTCCGTCGCTGTCTGTACACTGCGGCCCAGCAGAAGCAGATGCCAACTCCCCAGGAGCAGCAGCAGCAGCAGCAGCAGCAACTGCTGCTGTTGTGGCTGCTGGTGCCCCCCCTGCAGGGTGAAGCTTAGGCTGCTTCGCAGCAGGCTTCGAGAAGCTCTTCCGTGTCCCCTTCCTCCCACCTGAGGTTGCTGGTGTTGTTGCTGCTGCTGCCGTTGCTGCTGCTGCTGCTGCTTTCACTGGAAGTGTCGCTGCTTCCGATGCGCCCCCGTCGGGCGTGCTGCTGCATTGAGGAGACAGAAATTTGCTGCTGCTGCATGAGCTGCCAGAGTCAGGAGCAACGCCTGGCCGCTGCTTTTGGTTCTTCTTCTGTTGCTCCGTTGCTGCTGTTGCTGCTGCAGCTGCTGCAGCTGCTGCATGCGCGCCGCCTTCCCTATGCTCAGAACGTTTACCTTTTTGGAGCCCCCTTCCTTTTCCTGTCCTCCCTGTTGTTGCTGTAGCCGTTGCTGCTGCGGGTGCCGTTGCTGCTGCTGCTGCTGCTGCTGCTGCTGCTGCAGCTGCTGCTGCTGCAGCTGCTGCTGCTCTGCCTGCAGTGCGCCCCTTCCGTCCCCCTGCAAATGCCCCCGGTGCCTTTGGTGCACAAGGCCAATCCACAGATTCTTTGTCTGCTCCTGTTGCTGCTGCTGCTGCTGTTGCTGCTGCTGCTGCAGGGACCCGACCAGCAGCTGCAGCAGCCTTGGGGGCGAAGGCCCCCTGGCGTTTGCTCTGTCGTCGGTCTCTAACGGATTCTTCAGAGGGGCTTTTGCTGCTGTCGCTGTCGCTGTCGCTGCTGCTGTTGCTGCTGCTGCTGTTGGTGATGCTGCGACTGCTGTAGCCGAGGTAGCTTGTGCGGCTGGGGCTGCTCCTGCTGCTGCTGCCTGAGTTTCCACTCCTTGCTGCTCTTGCCTGCCTTTTGCTGTCGCTGCTGCTGCTGCTGCTTCTGCTGCTGCTGTTTGCTGCTGCTGCACTGTCCCCATTGAGTGTCTCCATAAAATCCTCCAAGCCAACGCCCCCCAGCAGGTCTTCAGACTCAAAGCCACTGCTCGCTATAAGTGCAGTGCTGGGGTTGCTGCTGCTGCTCCTGCTGCTGCTGCTGCTGCTACTGCTGCTGCTGCAACTACTGCAGCATTTGCTGCTAAACTTGCCGCTGCTGCCACTACTCAAGTGCAGCGGAGGCGCATTAGAAACAGCATCAGTTACAGACTCGAGGGACAGGGCGTCTTCTGCTTCACTTGCTGTAGCAACAGATTCTGAGTGCCCAGCAGCAGCAGCAGCAGGTGCAGGTGTTGTTGCTGCTGCTGCCCTATGTTCCTGGGGTTGTCTGAAGCGCTGCAAACTCATCCATACTCGCTTCATAGCCTCGTTGGGGGCCCCCTTGCCTTCGCTCGCTGCTGCTGAGGGGCCCCTAGGGTCCTTCGCCTCTAGAAACTGAAGGGCCCACTGACCTACAAACACTACACTCTGTACCACGTTCAAAGGCTGCTGCTGTTGCTGCTGCTGCTGCTGCGGCTGTTGCTGCTGCTGCATCTGCAGCAACAGCAGCTGCTGCTGCTGTTGCTGTTGTTGCTGGGTTTGCTGCTGCTGGTGCTGCTGCTGCGTCAGAATGTCCAGTGAGGACATGCGCCCTGGAACTAAGGAACGAGAAAGGCCTCTCCGTCCTACATCTGCTGCTGCTGCTGCTGCTGCAGTTGCTGCTGCTGCTGCTGCTGCTAACGGCGAAGCCGGAGGCAATGGATTCATGAGCAGCGCTTCTGCAGGTGAGCACCCAGCAGCAAGAGCCCCACACGCGCTGTTGCAGTTGATGCTGCTACTGCTGCTGCTGCTGCTGCTGCTGCTTGGCGAGAAGACAGAGACAGACAAGCCCGAAACAAAGAGAGACACAATATGTGCAGACGGCATGGGGGCCCACAGGAGGCTGCAGGGGCCCCCCCCTTCAAAGGGCTTCCCTGAGGAACTCGGAGCCGCAGCAGCAGAAGCAGCAGAAGCAGCAGCAGAAGCAGCAGAAGCAACAGAAGCAGTCACACCAAAGTCTTGCGTTGGCGCTGCTGCCTGGGAGAGAAAGCCGTTGGGGTCCCCGCAGCTGCTGCTGCTGCTCCGCTGCTGCAGCAGCTGCTGCTGCTGCGTCGCATCTGACTCTGAAGGGTATACTTCACAGCCCTCAGAGGGGGCCCCAGGGGCCCCCGCCCACCCACTGGGAAGAGCAGCAGCTGAGGGGGGCCCCTCGGGGCCCCACAGCAGCCCCTGATCTGGCAGCAGCAGCGGACAGAAGCTGCTGCTGCTAACAAAATGAACAGCCAGGGTCTCCACAGCTACACTCACAGCAAACGAAGCACGCGGAGAAGCAGCACCTGCTGCTGCTGCTGCTGCTGCCGCAGCAGCTGCTGCCGCTGCTGGTGCAGGTGCTGCTGCGCTGCTGCTGTCAAATGCCGATGGAAAGGCAGCACAGGGACCCTCACCGCGAGCAGCAGCAGCAGAACCTGCAACCGAAGCACAGGCAGCATCCCGGCTGTACAGCTGGGGAACACCGTGCTGCTGCTGCTGCTGCTGCTGCTGTTGCTGCGCTTCAGAGTGTCTACAAAGCTGCTGCTGCTGCCCTTCATACGCTGATGCTACCAGCTGCTGCGGATTCATCCGTGCTGCTGCATCGTTGTCCACCCAAAGAGGGATACTGTGCTGCTGCTGCTGCGGCTCCGCTCCTTGCTGCTGTTGCTGCAGCAGCTGCTGCAGCTGCTGCAGCTGCTGCAGCTGCCGCCCCTCTTCCCGGGGCAACTGCAGCTCTTGCTCTTCTTGCAACCTCCTTTGGAGGGGGTGCTGCAGTCGTTGCCGGTCCTGCTGCTGCTTTTGCTGTTGTTGCTTCTGCTGCTGTTTCTGGTGCTGCGGTTGCTGCTGCTGCTGCTGCAACTGCTGCAGCTGTTGCAGCTGCTGCTCAGCAGCAGAAAAAGGCAGCACCTCTCCTCCTAGAGGGAGCTCCGTCTCCTCCAATCCAGTCGAGGCCTCCTGGGATCCGATCCCCACCTCAACCCCCCCTACTTCTCCTCGCATGCAGAAAGCAGCAGCACGCCGCCACCAGGGGGCCCTCCGCTGCTGCTTCCCAGGGGCCTCTGCGGGGGGCCCCACAGCTTCGGGGGGCCCCCGGGGCCCCGCGGGGCCCCCAGGGTACAAACCCTCCTCATCATCATCTTCAAAAAACACACCGCGGGTCAACGATGCACCTGCTGCTGCTGCTGCTGCTGCTGCTGCTGATGCTGGAAGGGGGCCCCCAGAGGGGCCCCCCTCCTGCAGTCCTCCTGAACCCCAAATCCCAGAGGTCAAGGTGCTGCCGCCAGGAGTAAAGATGCCAATGTTGTTGCTCCGACTGCTGCTGCTGTTGCTGCTGCTGTTGCTGCTGAAGGGCTGCCCGCCTGAGCCATTCTGCTGCTGTGTCTCCTCTGTTGCTGCTGTTGCTGCTGTTGCCGCTGGTTCGCAGGAAAGTACGGTGTCTTCTTGCAGAAGGCTGCTGGCTTCGCTGCTGTTGCTGCTGTTGCTGCGTCCCCTGCTGCTAATTCTGCTGCTGCTTGTGCTGCTGCTGCTGCAACTGTTGCTGCTGGTTCGGGGGGCCCCTCCTGCTGCAGGGGGCCCCTGATGAAGGCCTAGGTCTTCCATAATACGCCGCAGCACACGAAGGTGCTCCGTCCCCAGCAGCACGAGCACTAAGGGGACTGCGAGACAAATGCCATAGTCAAAGGTAGCTTCTGTGGAGTCGCTGCTGCTGCTGCTGCTGCTGTTGCTGTTGCTGTTGCTGTTGCTGCTGCTGCTGCTGGACCAGATGCAACGCGTCCCATTGAAGCAGCCATCGCAGCTGCATCTACCGACAGTCCACTCGCCTGCTGCTGCTGCTGCCGCTGTTTCTGCTGCTGCTGCGAGGGGACCTCTCGTGTACGCTGCAGCAGCAGCAGCAGGACCATCAGGAGCAGGAGCAGCAGAAGCAGCACCCGGCTGTCTCTGCAGCAGCGCCAAGCACTCCCTCATGTGCGCCTCTGGCTGCAAGGCAGTGACAGAGCGGAGCCCCGCCTGCAAGGAGACTCTCCCAATGATATGTGATGCATTCTCCCCTGCTGCTGCTGCTGTTGCTGCTGCTGCTGCTGTTGCTGTTGCTGTTTCTGCTGCTGCTGGTAGTGGCGTTGGCGTTGCTGTTCTTGTTGCTGAGCCAGCGGTAACAGCAGCAGCAGCAGCAGGGTGGGGGGCCCCCGCCGGCCGAAGGGGCACAGCCCATCCGTTGAGGCTGTTGGGGGCCCTTGTGCAGAGCAGCAACAAACCTGGTGCAGCAAGCCAGCTGTCTTCGCCTCTCGATCTGAATGCTGCAGCAGGAAGAGGAGGCAGCAGAGACACCTCACAGCCCCCCAGCTGCAGCTGCGCACTTCCTGCAAATGAATCGCACCCACGGAGGCACTCAATATGAAGACGAAGAGCCCATAGAGACCGAGGGGGGCCCCCTGTACACCCTGAGGTGGGGGGGCCCCCTGCTGTCCAGGGGGCCCCCCCACCACTGTCATCATATGACATCTGTCGCCTCCGGCTCTGCCGCGGTCTGCTGCTTTTTAAGCCCTTCCCATCAACAGGGGGGGCCCCCCAGCAAGCTGCTGCTGCAGGCTGCCTATACACCGTAGGCACTGGTTTGCCGCTCGCTGCTGCTGCTAAACCCTCCTTGCTGCTGCAGTTAGGGGGCCCC